AGGCAACGAAAGTAAAGGCAGGGTGTAAATGTAGAGGGTTTTTGAGTTAGTGAGATTTTGCTGGAGGTTAGTTATTTTTCCCATTTGTGACCAAAATGATGGGAGGAGAACCTCTGGGGGAAGTAGGCTTCGGTGAATGAAGTAACGGACAATGCCGTGGGCGCCTTGCATTCTTCAGGGTGGTGTTAGTATCTTGGGCTATGCAATACTTTGAATAATGACGATAATGATAGCACTACATATATGTGGAGGTTTAAATGAACAAAGCAACTGTAATAGCATAAACAATAAAATATAATTTTTTTAAAAAGTAAATTAACGAAACCGTTTTAAAGTGAGGGATTAAGATGATACTAAGCCAGAATTACTAGCTATATTATTAATTTTTGGCCAAGTTAGTCTAGGCAGCTCTGCTCAGGGGAAGGAGCTGAAGAGGACAGCGGGAGGGTAGCAGCAGGTCTCCATCATCACTCAGCTGCAGCTGTGGCCCTCACGTGACGGGGCAGAGAGCAGAGCCAGGATGAGGAGCTAAGGCACAGACAGACAGCTGAAACTGGGCTGTGTTTCCGGTACACAGCACTCCTCTCCGTGGTCAAACTCCATGCACTCTTCCTCGCCCCAGCCCTTTAGCACACAGGGCGGTCTTCTGAAAGCATGAGTCAGATCATGTTACTCTTTTGTTTAAAACTTCAGCCCTGGCTGGTGTGGTCAGTGGATGGAGCCCTGGACTGAGAGCCAAAGGGTCGCCGGTTCAATTCTGAGTCAGGGCTTGTGCCTGGGTTGTGGGCCAGGTCCCAAGCGGGGGGCATGCAAGACGCAACCACGCACTGATGTTTGTCTCCTTCTCTTTCTCCCTTCCTTCCCGTCTCTTTAAAAATAAATAAATGAATATTTAAAAAAATAAAACCTTCCCATTGCACACAGGCACTTGAAAGTTTTGAGTTACCCTTGTTTTTTCAGTTTATATCCCACTTCCTCCAAAGAAGAGGGTTTTGGGAGGGGAATATATTAAGTCCTCATTCCTCCCTGGCACTGAAGAGAAGAAAGAAGGAAACTGTGACCTCAATTTTCTCCACATTCAGTCTGGTGGCCTCTGTAAACAGAGATGGATGTAGAGGCCTGGGTTATGTGGAAGTAACACTACTTTCTCAGAAATGTAATGTCTGAGATCATTTAGCTCAACTACCTCACTTTACAGAGGAGGAAACTGAGGCACAGAGGAAGCAAGTGACATCCTAAGTGAGTGCCCAGGGTAAACAAGAAGTCATGTCTCTTTACTCCTGATTTCGATGCTCTCAGCTGATGGACAGCTCTGCAGGAAAAGGGCAGTAGGCCCGGCAGGCAAGAGTGGCGGGGCCAGGCAGACGGGACGGGGTGGAGGAGGTACCGGTGGGAAATGGAAAGGCTGTGAAGAGTCAAAATGTCCATCACCACTGGCTATGTCCCCAGGACAGATGATGCCCCCAAATGCTCCCGAATGGAGGCATAAACCGTGACACAGACCACACGGATGGACTGACCAAAGGCCATGACATGTCATTTGTGCCTAAGGACTAAGCACCCTTTTTTACCCACCCTCTTAATCCAGCTCTTTCAGCATGTTCTTTCCTTTTAAGTCATTTGAGACTTTCTCTGCTATTCCCTTTTTCATGTGGTTTGTGGCTGCAGTTTAGAATCTATCTGCCCACTTATCTCAGGTTCTAGGCTGAAGGGAAATGGAGATGATGACGATGAGCTTGGGTAATGACACTTGCCTGCAGTGTTTCGCTGTTCTGAAAAGAAGCTTAGAGGGGAAAAGTTAGTACATTCATGAGTCAACATTATATTTATCCCTCTGTTATGAGGAATACTGCCTCCACTACTTTCGTGAAGCATAATCATTTGTTAGTTTCAGTAAGACATTTTTCTGGCCACTGATAAGGAAACAAAAAAGGCATTTACTGTGCTAGTCTCAGAATGAAATGTAAGCTATGGTCTTTTGTTTGTTTGTTTGCTTTTAGCTTTCATTTATGATCACAGGCTTTAGGGTTGCCAGGGCCTTGGAGGAGCACCAACCTCACCACCGCCTCCTGGGCGGGAAGGCCCTTCCCAACATCCAGGCCAGTGGTTAAGATCCCTTCCCTTTGAATCCCCACAGCCAGTGGCCTCTACCTCTGTCAAAACACTTACTTCATTTTGCTTTAAATTACATTTAGTTGAGGACTTTTCTTAAGTCTCAGCTGTGATCCCCTGAGGGTAGGAATCCTGTCTCATTCCTCTTTGATCTCCTACAGCTCCCAACACAGAGCCTGGCTCACTCTCCATAAATATTTGAATGAGTGACAAAGTGTTAACAGCCTCCAGAAGGCAACCACAGTTAGACGTTTCTAATAGCTGGAAACTTCTTCCTGAAAGTGAGGAGAAATATGCCTCACTATGTTCTCCGTGGGGGGAGAATGCAAACAGGCAGTCCTGACAGAAGGCCAGGCATCCAGGAGATGTACACGAAGGGTCCTGGAGACAGGCTAGTGCCCTGCTCTTAATGGTTTTCTTGCTCCCCATTTGGCCGAAGGGCTTTCCCAGGACAGAAAAACTCAACAACCCTAGATAGATCTGGATAAGTGCATGTGACGGAGAGAGTTCCAAGATTCCAACCAGACTTCGGAGGACAGCTATACCCAACACTGTCCATGCCCCACCCATACTCACTTTGCCTGCCTGAGGGTCTTCTGCAGGCAGTCCTTCCTCACACTGACAGCTTCCTGTGTTTTCTCTGCTCTTGGTCACTCTGAGCTGGGGAGTGTGCTTGGCCTGTGTATAGGTCAGGCTGGAAACGCCAGGGAGTTCCTCGAGGAGAGACCTTCAACAGTGAGCAATGGGACTTGGTGTGTCAATGCCCCAGACACCTCACCTGCCAGTTGGACAGCTCAGGAGTGTGTTCTGCACAGCGTTTCAGAGAGTTTCAGGACGGATGGCTCCCAGTTGCTCATAGCAGCAGCCCACTCATGAACACACATCCCATATTCATTTTTCTCTCTGCTCTCTTCGATTCCTCACTCCCTCGCTGTTTTTCCTGGGATCACACTCAAATACACCATCTACCCCAAATCCTTGCCTCAGGGTCTTCTTTGGGGGACCCCAAACTAAGGCAAAGACACAACCAGGAAATTTGGGGAAATACATGTTATTCCCTTAGAAGAGAGAACTTTTAAAATCAGTACATGCCTTTTTTCCCCTTTTATCTCCCTCTAAGTGCAGATTTGGTTTTTCTGACAGTTCTATAAATACAGTTTAATTTTAAGTAGAATCTATGTCCTAACTCAGAAAACAGGGCTGATAATGATTCCTAAATCTCTGAAGGATCATTATTTCAAAATAAGGCTCAGTAATGTTCTAGTCTACTAAAGGAAGTATATGTACTGTGTCAGAAAGATCCCAGGCCAGACTAAAGAAAAAGTTTATGCATGAGCATCATTAGACATCAGGGTGAATTTGTATTCAAGTGTGTTAATGAACCTGTTAAACTTCCACAGAGACCTTTTAAATGAAGAGAGACCTTAACCACCTGGCTCAGGTTTAGGATGGAGTGCTTAGGGGAAAGCTAAGATGAATGGGGACCATGAGGGAAGAAGGAAAGAAAAATAAAGAACCTTCATTAAATGTTTTACCCAGTATTAATGACCTACCCCTCAGCTAATGGAACCAAGAGAAAATGCAATTGTTGAAGAATATTTATTATCATTTGAGAAAATTTGTAACAAAAACCAAAGGTGTACAAGCCACCTGTCACCCACATCCTTCTTTAGGCAGACAGTATGAGTCAGAGAAGCTCTCTGTGAGTGCCACAATATTCCTTGATTGTTTCGACACTTCAGACAATCAATAGGAGGTAGCAGTTAAAAATAACCATGCTCCCTAGTTTTACGTTAGTGGGAATTTTCTTTGGTCTTGTTCCTTCCTGGAGAGTTTTCTGCTAGCCCAGTAGGAAACAGCATCCATGGTGGCCATGAATTTTAATTGGCAGTCAGTGATGGGAATGAGTGTGAACACAAGGTGAAGAGAGTCAGCAGGGGGAGACCCCCACAGATGCCTTGTGGGGTGAGGCGGGGCTTTGGTCCTAAGTCAAGGGGAGATAAGAAAATGTCCCATTGGTCTTATTTTTAGTGTGGGAAAGGGTTGTGGCATCAGGTGTTCTCTTTATTTAAACCCTGACTGATGGCCAGTGCTTCAGCTCTTCTGGTGCAGGGAGTGGCCAGGGGGCAGCAAAGTCTTTCCTTGGTGCTAGGAAGATGTAGAATTAGCACATAATGTGTGTCCTTTACCCTCTTTGGTGTACACTGCCGCCCTGCTGTAGGTGGCAATAATGCCCTGGGTACAGCTCTTTCCTGAGCAAGAGAGGTGTTTCGGCCTCCTCCAGCTTTTGCCCTAGTCTGAGCCATTACTTTCATAAAGTAACTTTTTAAAAAGAGTTTATTTAGAGAGAGGGAAAGGGAAGGAGAGAGAGGGAGAGAAACATCGATATGTGGTTCCCTCTCACACATCCCTTACTGGGCACCTAGTCTGCAACCCAGCCATGTGCCCTGACTGGGAATTGAACAGCGACCTTGGGTTCACAGGCCCATGCTCAATCCACTCAGCTCCACCAGCCAGGGCAAGAAAGTAACTCTTAGAAGTACCATACTGTCCCCATTGGCATGATCTCAAAGATGCTAGTGAGATTTACTAAGGTATTCCATGCAAAATGATTGCATTTATGTGCATTAGTAGTTGGCACAAAAACTATCCTGGTCCCAGGAATGAGAAGCATCAGTTATCTTACCTGCTATCTGTGGAAATTTTATCATATGCAAAGACTTCCCTTGGGCCAAAATCAGATATATTAATATTAGAGTGGCCTATACTGTCCTGTCTCATAATTATTATTTGGGGTAGCTTGCTTTCCCAAATACCCACCCCAAAAGCACTCAGTGGATTCCTTTTCAGCCTGCCCCACTATGCACTCACTCTGCTTTGCTTTCCAGAATGCCTATGTCAACATCAACCGCATCATGTCCGTGGCTTCTCGCCTCTCTGAGGCTGGTCATTATGCCTCACAGCAAATCAAGCAGATTTCCACACAGCTGGACCAGGAGTGGAAGAGCTTTGCGGCTGCCCTGGATGAACGTAGCACCATTCTTGCCATGTCTGCAGTATTCCACCAGAAGGCTGAGCAGGTGAGGCCAAGGGAGCTGCAGAGTTGCTATTGGTGGGAAGGGTGGGAGGATATAGACTTTGTAGAGAGCTCCTCCTCTCTGTAAAACACTGAAGACCCTGATGAGTAGCTGCAACAATAACCCATGTCTCCCACTTTCATGGTCCCTGTATACATAAAGAAACATTGGCGGCTTTGTTTATCATCCAAATAAGAAGGAACCCAGAGTCTGTTTACATACCACTGGATGGTTTATTGTTGTGTGTACTTGTGTGCATTGATTGCCTGCCTAGTTTATGTTCCCTGAGCTTGGACAAAAGGGGTGAAACTGAACTGATCATAAGAGTTCCGAGAGTAGGGGGGAAACTTAATATTACATAAAGCATTTGCTATAGATAATAATAATAATGTAACAATAACACAGTAGCTAGAAATAACAATTACTGGTTCTCATTCACTGACGGGTACTGGCCAGTGACATCACTAACTCATTTTACAGATAGGAGCACTGAAGCTCAGAGAGAATAAATGATCTGCCTAAGACCCAGGGGTGTGTTGGAGCTCACTCTAACTGGATCATGAAGGCCCAATTGTTCAAATAGCAGGAATTTTTTGAACTGGTTGTTAAATACAGCATTACTTGAGCTAAATTTACATTAGCTATGTTGTATTAAAGTCAAAGCCAATAAATACTCAAAACCATTATTTCCCATTTATTTTGCTACATTTCATTATCTAGGTTGTTGACATTATTTATGTCTATTTGAGAATTTGTATCTGGGGTGGAAATACTGCGCATGTGTGCTACCACTCCTCTCTCCTCACTCCACATTGGTGGTGTCCCAGTGGGAACCTGAAACAGACCGAGGTAGGAGTTTTACGCCATGGAAATCAGCAAATGCTACAAACCAAGGCTGGATTTATTATTTTACTGATTGTCTAGAGTCTTAAAACACGAGGGAGAAAAAATTTTATAGTGTGGACTGAACTTAAAAATGTGTCTTGTGACTTCCAGCCAAAATGGAGGCATAGGCAGATGCACTGTAACTCCTCGAACAACCAAAATAAGGACAACAACAATTTAGAAACAAAATAACAACCAAAACTGAGAGAAAATTGAACTGTATGGAAGTCTGACAACCAAGGAGTTAAAATAGACACATTCATTCAGACCGGTAAGCAGGGCAGAGTCGGGCTGCTGAGTAGAGAGGGGTCTCGGCACAGGAAGCGGTGACACTGGGCGCGCAAGGCACTCTGGGCACACAAGACGGCACCAGGCAGACCCTGGGTGCCCAGACAGCAGCTGGCAGATCCAGGGCATGGGATGGCAAAGGGCAGACCCAGTGAGGCAGCGACTGAGAAGTGGGGCACCGTGTTCAAGGTGACTGACTGACCGGGCAGCAGTCCCACATTTGCGTGCAGATAACTGGGGAGCGAGATGGATTGTGCAACCCAGGGGCCTAGGCCAGGAAATAAAGCCTCAAAACACTGACTGAAAATACCTGTGCAGATTGAGGCATAGGTAGAGACTCCCAGCCTCACAGGAGAGTCTGTTGGAGAGACCCACAGGGTCCTAGAATGCACACAAGCCCACCCACACGGGAATCAGCAGCAGAAAGGCCCAGTTTGCTAGGGGGAAGCGGCGGGAGGGACTGAGGTGCAACAGAGAGTGGAGCAAAGCGCCAGTTTTCCCTCTCAGACCCCGCCTCCACATACAGTGTCACAACCCAATGACTTGAGTTGCCCCACCCTGGTGAACACCTGAGGCTCCCCCCCTCATATGTAACAGGCGCGAACAGACCAAAACATTATGGCTCAAGCAGAAGAACAGCTCAAAACCCCAGACTCAATATTTCTAAGCGACCAAAAGATAGCCAACCTATCGGATACATAGTTCAAAACACTGGTGATCAGGATGCTCACAGAACTGGTTGATTTTAGTCACAAATTAGATGAACAAATGAAGGCTACACTAAGAGAAGTGAAGGGAAATGCACAGGGAACCAATAGTGATGGGAAGGAAACTGGGACTCACATCAATGGAGTGGACCAGAAGAAAGAAAGAAACATTCAACCAGAACAGAATGAAGAAACAAGAATTCAAAAAAATGATGAGAGGCTTAGAAACCTCCAGGACATCTTTAAATGTTCCAACATTTGAATTATAAGGGTACCAGAAGGGGAAGAGGAAGAACAACAAGTGGAAAACTTATTTGAACAAATAATAAAGGAGAATTTCCCCAATCTGGCAAAGGAAATAGACTTCCAGGAAATCCAGGAAGCACAGAGAGTCTCAGAGCAGGTGGACCCAAGGAGGAACACACCAAGGCACATCATAATTACATTAACCAAGATTAAAATGAGGGAGAGAATCCTAGAAGCAGCAAGAGATAAGAGGACAGCCACCTACTAAGGACTTCCCATCAGACTGTCAGCTGATTTCTCAAAAGATACCTTACAGGCAAGAAGGGGCTGGAGAGAAGTATTCCAAGTCATAAAAGACAAGGACCTACATCCAAGATTGCTCTATCCAGCAAAACTTTCATTTAGAATGGAAGGACAGATAAAGTGCTTCTCAGATAAGGTCAAGTTGAAGGAGTTCATCATAACCAAGCCCTTATTATATGAAATGTTAAAGGGACTTATCTAAGAAAAAGAAGATAAAAAACATGTACAGTAAAATGATAGCAAACTCACAATTATTAACAACCACACATAAAATAAAAACAAACTAAGCAAACAACTAGAACAGGAACAGAATCACAGAAATGGAGATCACATGGAGGGGTAGCAACAGGGGAGTGGGAGGAGGAGAGTGGGGAAAGGTACAGAATAAGTAGCATAGATTGCAGGCAGAAAATAGAATGGGGGAGGGCAAGAATAGTATGGGAAGTGTAAAAGTTAAAGAACTTGAGGCACATGGACATGAACTAAAGGCAGGGAATGTGGGTGGGAGAAGATGTGCAGAGTGGAGGGGAATGAAGGCAGAAATGGGACAACTGTAATAGCATAATCAATAAAATCTATTTTTTAAGTGTGTCTTGTCTGTAGCTCTTACATTATGAATGGCACACAGAATTGAGTTAATCTTCTGATATTCACAAACTATTATTTCATTCTGCACAGGATTCCTGCACATCATGGATGAACAAGTAATGTTCTGACATAAGTCTTGAGATAGTTTCACTTTTGTCTTACACCAACATAAGTGAAACTGACTTCCAGCTAAGATTGAGGTATAGGTAGTCACATTGTGCCTCCTCGCACAACCAAAAGAAGGACAACAACAAATTTAAAAAACAAAAAATAACCGCAACTGACAGAAAATCAAACTATATGGAAGTCCAAAAACCAAGGAGTTAAAGAAGAAACATTTATCCAGACCGTTAGCAGACGTGGAGACAGGCAGCTGGTAAGAGAGGACTCCTGGCAAGGTGGCAGCTGGCAGGCCAGGTGGTCCCACATTTGCCTGCAGAAAAACCAGGAGGAACAACTGGGGAGCAAGACAGATTGCACAGCCCAGGGGTTCAGCACAGGGAAATAAAGCCTCAAAACCTCTGACTGAAAAAACCTGTGAGGGTTGCACCAGCAGGAGAAACTCCCAGCCTCACGGGAGAGTTCATTGGAGAGACCCACAGGGTCCTATAAAGTACACAAAATCACCCACCCAGGAATCAGCACCAGAAGGGCCCCATTTGCTTGTGGGAAGTGGGGGAAGTTACTGAAAGCCGGCAGAGTAGAGCAAGCAGCATTGTTCCCTCTCAGAACCCTTCCCTATGTATAGCACCACTATGCAGTGAGGTCGGTTGCTTCTCCCTGGTGAATACCTACAGCTCTGCCCCTTACTATGTAACAGGTGTGCCAAGACAAAAAAATGGCCCAAATGAAAGCAGATTAAAGCTCCCGGAAAAATACAACCAAGCGACAAAGAGATAGCCAACCTATCAGACACACAGTTCAAAACAATGGTAATTGGGATGCTTACAGAATTGGTTGAGAATAGTTGCAAAATAGAGGGAAAAGTGAAGGTTATGCAAAGTGAAATAAAGGAAACTGTACAGGGAACCAACAGTGAAGGGAAGGAAACCAGGACTCATATCAGTGGTTCAGACCAGAAGGAAGAAATAAACATTCAGCCAGAATGGAATGAAGAAACAAGATTCCCCCCCACCAAAAAAAAAAAAAAAATGAGGAGAGGCTTAGGAACCTCCAGGACAACTTTAAACATCCCAATATCCAAATCATAGGGATGCCAGAAGTAAAAGAGGAAGAACAAGAAATTGAAAAATTATTTGTAAAAATAATGAAGGAAAACTTTTCCCTATCTGGCAATGGAAATAGACTTCCAAGAAGTTCAGGAAGCTCAGAGAATCCCAAAGAAGTTGGACCCAAGGAAGCACACACTAAGGCACATCATAATCATATTACCCAAGATGAAAGATCAGGAGAGAATCTCAAAAGCTGCAAGAGAAAAGTGGACAGTTACCTACAAAAGAGTTCCTCCCATAAGGCTATCAGCTGATTTCTCAAAAGAGACCTTACAGGCAAGAAGGGGCTGGAAAGAGGTATTCCAAGTCATGAAAGGCAAGGACATATATCCAAGATTACTCTATCCAGCAAAGCTATCATTTAGAATGGAAGGGCAGATAAAGTGCTTCCCAGATAAGGTCAAATTCGAAGAGTTCATCATCACTAATCCCTTATCATATGAAATGTTAAAGGGACTTATCTAAGAAAAAGAAAATAAAAAGTATGAACAGTAAAATGACAGCAAACTCAGTTATCAACAACCAATCCTAAAACAAAAACAAAAACAAACTAAGAAAACAGCTAGAACAGGAACTGAATCACAGAAATGGAGATCACATGGAGGGTTCTCAGTGGGGAAGGGAAAGGGGGAGAATGGGGGACTGGGTACAGAGAATAAGTAGCATAAATGGTAGGTAGAAATTACACAGCGGAAGTTAAGAATAGTGTAAGAAAAGTAGAAGCCAAAGAACTTACATGTATGACCCATGAACATGAACTAAGGGGTTGGGGGGAATGAGGGTGGGAGGTGATGTGCAGGGAAGCTGGGAATAAAGCAGGGAAATGGGACAACTGTAATAGCATAATCAATAAAATAAATGTTAAAAGTAAATATTTCTATGAAAAAAATCATAAGTGAAACTATCAATCGGCTTTCATGTCACAACTATGCAAGTATGTCACATACAAAAGCATCCTGTGAGAATCAGTTGGCTACCTGGAATTACTATAAGGAGCACTGTATGTTATTATTCTGTGTAAATTCTGTGCCACATATCTCTTATGTTAGTAAAGTTTATGATGCACTTGGGTGTGTTTGTGTGTGTGGGTACAGCAGACGCAGTGCCAGGACTGAGAATAGCTGGAGGAGTCAAGCTTCTTGCTGATATTTCCTGACTTAGTTTGGATCAGGAGCAATTTTATTTGTATCTATTTTTAATGTGGTTTCCTCAGATATTACCACTTCTTCAGGGAAACTCATAACTGTGATTCTATTTAGCTAGAGGAAAAAAACACACCCAACAATGGATTCAAGGCTATTTTTTCAATGCGTTTATTTAGGCAGCTCTTTATTGTCCTCATGTGGGCTGTTATAGGCAATGAGATAAAAGGGTATCTAGGCAATTAATTTGAATGGAGCTGTGCACCCAGGCAACAAGAATCACAGACAAAAACCATTCCAGACTGTTGGGTGAAAAATTATTTGCAATTTAAAGGTGTGTTTTTCCACCTAATAAATCTGAGTGGTTTCAGTTGGCTCGCCATTTGTGCACAGATACCTGTAGTCTTCCACAGTTGTTCATTTTCATTTTTAAATAATCTGATATCTGTCAAGGTCTCTATCTATATATCACATTCCAGGAGGCACTGCCACTGTAGGCACAGCACAGTCTGTCTTCCTAAGCTGCCTCTCCCCCTCTCCACCCCTGAGGCTACTGACCCAAGGGTAGGGGTCTTCTTGGGGGTTAATCTCCATTCCTTGTGGGAAAGTCTCTGCAAGTTCCCTGAGGGGCCCATATTATATGCTCTTGGCTCCTCCTCACAACTCAGTGTACACACTATAACGTAACGTACCTGTATGGAAACATTCCATTACATTAAGTGTAGCCCCTGACATGTGCGTGTGAGTGTGCACAGGACAAGCAGCTGCAATGTATACGTGTAATGTAATGAGCTGTTTGCACACCTGTATTTTATAGTCAATATGTGGGTGTAATCTGTTGAACATGCGGATGACTCCCACCCCCAGCAGTTTCATAATAGTCATCTTTGTTTGTGGAAACCACACTTCTTAAACAGGTACTGGGTCTGACTTCTTACATGGAGTTAATATTTGTACAATTAAAGAAAAACTTCCACCCTCTGCTGTGGCCTCTGAAGGCTTCCGGAGGTCCTGATGATGCTTCTTCCCAAGGTCTCTGCATAATTTGTCCATGGCCCACCCCAATGTCCCCCACACTGACCCAGCTGGCATGTCCTTCCAGTTCCTGTCGGGAGTGGACGCCTGGTGCAAGATGTGCAGTGAAGGTGGCCTGCCATCCGAGATGCAGGACCTGGAGCTGGCAATCCACCACCACCAGTCTTTGTACGAGCAGGTGACTCAGGCCTACACAGAGGTGAGAACCAAGCAGGACACCCAAGGGTACTGGGCATGTGTGCATATGGGTGGGTGGCAAGAACACTGGCCTGTCCACTCTGGAAAAGCCCAGGTTGGACTGAGAAGACTAGATGCTATTTTTCTGTCTTTGGAGACTCTTTAAGATCTTGGATCTATGAATGGTGGTGTCTCCAGCCTGGAGGCAGAAAAAATAGGGCCATCAGGAGACCACCTTGGATATGTGTGACGATTGGATTCTTCTCTGGGAAGGACTGTATAAAAGCAACACTGCTCCTCTGGGGTTTGTTTCTGGCTGCTGTGCAGGAGCCTGCCACCCCTTTTGTGAAGCAGCTCATCACCAGAAGGTCCAGAGGAAAACTCGCCATAGGGCGCACACGAGTGTTTGTAGAAGTTGCCATGGAAGTGAAAGACAAACTAAAATACTCTTCCTCTGAAAAATCAAAGGCTGGGGGCATTATTCAAAGTTAGGAAGGGAAAAAACTTTTTTTATTGTTGTTCAAGTACAGTCGTCTCCTTCCCCACCCCCACACTACTCCCCCCACCCCAGCCATCCCCAACACCCACCCCTGATCCTACCCCACTTTGGTTTTGTCCATGTGTCCATTATACATGTTCCTGACAACACTTCCCATTCCCCCCCCATTATCCCCTCCCCTCTCCCCTTGGTTACTATCAGTTTGTTCTTAATTTCAGTGTCTCTGGTTATATTTTGTTTGTTTGTTTGGTTGATTAGGTTCCACTTAAAGGTGAGATCATATGGTATTTGTCTTTCACCACCTGGCTTATTTCACTTAGTAGTATAATGCTCTCCAGTTCCATCCATGCTGTCTCAAAAGGTAGGAAGTCCTTCTTTCTTTTGCTGCATAGTGTAGTAAAAGGAAAACGGCTTATAGGTGCATCTGTGGGATGTACACAGGTAAGTAGGTTTGCTGACTGGCGTGAATTCTGAGGGAGATGGGCTGATTAAGGAAACTGGATGAAGAGAGGAAAGTGAATTCGTATTTGGCCCACGGGTTCCTTCTGGGGCAAGGTTGGTTAGAGCACTATTCTCGAAGTGGGTTCCCGTTCCACGGGCATCAGACTCACCTGGGGTGCTTGTTAGAGGTCCATATTCCTGGGTTCCGCACCAGCCTCAATCAGAAAGTCAAGAAGTGGGACATAGAACTTACATTTTACTAAATATTATCCCAGATGAGTTTCATACACTTTGAAGTCAAAGAACCAGTGGCTTGTGGGTGCAACCAAAGGGTTTTGCCACTGTCAGAACTGGGTTTGAATCTTGGCTTCCTTGCCAATTTGCCTGTGTGACCTTGGGAAAATTTCTTAACCATTGTAGGCCTCAGTTTCTTCTGCAAAATAACGGTGTGATGCCTGCCTTGCAGGGGAGTTTTGGGGAGTTATAAAGATAATGTGTGTAATGCACCTGGCGCAGTGTGCCTGGCAATAGGAAGTGCTGAAAATGGTAACAGGTTTTGTCATTGTAGGAGGCAGAGAGGAAGGCTTGTGAGCCAATTTTGATCTCGTCGATTTTGACTCAAGTGGCACAAGGCTTTCTCTTCTAACAGAACTGTGCCTCTGCCCATGGGTCATGAATCTCTAACTTTACTACTTATTAAATATACATAGAGTATACAAATGAAATTAATATTATACTCATAGGTTTCACATATATATGAGTGTAATTATAAATATAGATAGAATATTTATCCCTATTTATTATCAGGCCCTAGCATTGTGGGACATAGACAGACCCTTTGAGCCCTCTCCAGAGGTCTGTGGGCTGTCTCTGCCTCCCACAGATGTGAACTAAGGCCAAGGACAGAACTCACACAGACTTCATTTCAGGACTTGGCCCTCTATCTCCAACCACCCTGGACATATCACAGTGCCAAGAGACAGCACTGGCTTAGAATTCCCTGAAGAGAGCTGTGCTGGGTTTAGCCATAGGATATTTGTCTTTCTCATGTCTCTGGAGGGATGTTATAAGAGGAGAGCAAGGGTAGTGGTGGTTGCCCAAACCGGCTGTATTCCTCCAGCCAGGTTTCCTCTCTCATCTCAGGTGTACTCCCTCTCAGCCCTCCTCTTAATCAACTCTAGCCCCACAGGCTTTTCTGCCGATAATTATGCCAGGATTCCAATGATGAGTGACGGGGAGTGTCTCCCCCACTGGTCTCAGCACTGAGGGTGAGAGTTGGGTAACCCAGGAGCTGGAGGGTGTGTCCACAATCTTAGGGTCCTTTCTTTACTCTGCATATTCTGAAAAGATGGGGATAGGACTTCTTTCGGGAGGAAAAAAAGGGGATGTATAGAAAGAGAGCAAAAGAAGGGTCAGTATAGAAGAAGATGACGAGGGAATAAAGAATACAGGAGAGAGAAATGATGAAGATGCTGATGAAGATAGAATTGGTAGCCAGCGCAATGTGCTGAGCTCCAGTCTAAGTGCCCCGCGTGTGCTAACTCATTTAATCCTCACCACAACCCTGAGGTGTGTGCCGTTGCTACCCCTACCAGTTCCTCACACAAGGAAACTGAGACCCAGAGATGTTAGGTACCTTGTCTCTGATCACAGATCTAGAAGTTCAGAGCCAGGTAGAGGAAGGTAAAGAAGAGTCGTTCTGTGGCCTGAGCTGGCGGTGAGTCAACCAAAATATCTATCAAGAACTATGTGCCAGGCACTGTTCCAGGTGTTTGGGAGACAGGCAGAGTCCCTGCTAGACAGGCAGAGCTAAAATTCAAGGGGGAGAGAGACTGATTCGAGAGTGTTACAGACACCTGGGTGCTGTCCCTGCAGCTCCTCTGCCCCAGGATTCTGGGGTGCTCTGGCCTCCCACGCAATATGGGCTGGGCATCATGGCAGCTCTGGCTGGCCCATTCCTTGGTTGTCATAGGTCTGGTTAGGACTGCGATCCTTAGTCCTAGTCCAGAACCCCAGGCAGACCCTGCTATCCTTCCTGTGCCCTGTCTGCCACTCCACTCCCTTGGCGTGACCCTCTTCCCTTCCTGCAGGTCAGCCAGGATGGCAAGGCCCTGCTGGATGTGCTTCAGCGTCCCTTGAGTCCTGGGAACTCCGAGTCCCTCACAGCCACAGCCAACTACTCCAAGGCAGTGCACCAGGTACTGGATGTGGTACATGAAGTGCTGCACCATCAGCGGCGACTCGAGAGCATCTGGCAGCACCGCAAGGTGCGGCTCCACCAGCGGCTGCAGCTCTGTGTTTTCCAGCAGGACGTCCAGCAGGTAACAGGCCCCACACCCAGCATCCATCCCAGGCAGGCAGACGGCTGAGTCCCTGACCTGGCCACTCAGGCCTGGGATCACCCGATTTAGGAAAATAGGGCAATTCAGCCTCCCAGCTGCATCCTCCTCCCCAGGAAAACCATCTGGACTTGCTAATTGCATCCTTCTTACCTAAGCAGCTCAATGGACAGGGCCTTCTCACCCGTGGTTTTGAGAAGGGAGGCTCAGCCTGAGGAATAGGAATTCCGTGCAGTCATATGGCATAGGTGCCTTTGGGGAGAGCTTGACCCTCACTCCTGAGCTTTCTGCACGATTCAAGGACTTGGGGGTTATCTGAGCACTGTCTGGGTTGGGCTTCACATAACATGACTTCATTTCTTTATCAGGCATGCAGGTGGCCTGTTAGAGTGGGGCTTGGGGTGAGATACAGGGCCTTCAGGGGGTCGTTTGGCAAGATTGGACTTGGGAAACCAGATTTAAAATATGAGTTGTTGATGACTATATGTCCTATAATCAGAGGTTATTTCTGGCTTGATCTGTCTTTTTTGCATTATTATACCAGTCGTGGCTTTTTTTAAAACCACAAATAATAAAGATATGGTTCTGATTTTGACTTTAAAAGGACAGTCTTGCCACAAATGCCCTATTGGATGAAATAACCCATGCTTTTTCTCTCATACTTTGTCTCCTTGGGGATTTCTGGGGACTGTCCCCTGAGGACCGGTGTGTTCGGGGAGGGAGAGCTGGCTGGGCGCCGAGGAGTGAGGTGGAGGCTTCGCAGCTCCTGCCTGCTGGTCCACTGTGAGAGGCGGGGCCGGGGGCACTCAGGTTGTTAGACTTCTCTGTAACCACCACAAGATTTCAAAATTATACGAATAAAAGGATGTTGCCCTCTCCTTCTGTGGTGTTGACCAGATGTAATTCAAAACTATATCAAAGTATGCAAGGTAGGGCAAAAGTTTAGTTGTGAACCCACAAAATAGAGTTTATTCTTATATTATCACTTACTAATTATCGTATTATTTTCCATGTGAACAACTGTAAACCTACTTTTGTCCCACCCTGTATGTGGAAAATTGAGAGCCAGCTGGCCATGTCTTTGGAGTAACGATTCCCTTCACAGCGGTTGTTGGGAGGGGCCCTGCTGGTGGGTGCCCTGAGAGGGAGGCAGGGTGGCGGAGAGCAGGCTTCCTGTCCCTGGCCGTGACGCCTTCTGGCCCCAGAGCTGCCGTGCAGTGAGTCCCAGGAGTGAACAGGCTTTCCAGAGTGTCCCCATTCCTGGGCTGCGCTAACCTCCTTGCAACCCTCCTTCTTTAACTGGGGCAGTGATGGAGTCATTAGAGGCAATGCCTCAGCCTCGGGACAGAAGGCTGCCGAAGTGCAGTCCCAGCTGAGAAACCCTTGTGAGGCCTGCTGGGAATGGAGAGGCAAATGAGTCTGTTGCCTGCTTCTGCCATCTGGAGCTGTCCAGGGAAATACATCACCCCTGAGCACAGGAGAGCGCAGAGTCTGTCTGTGGTTGAGGCGGAGGGAGGCACACAGAGTGGGCATTACTATTCAGTGAACTCTGACCGACTCTCGGAGATTATCCGGTCTATGGACTGTGCAGCTTTCTTGCTGTGCTCATTGCCCTCCTTCTGTTTGCATGGCTGTTGTATAGGGATGGGCGCTGAAAAGGGGCAGAGGGGCTGCGAGGAGGGTAAGTGAAAAGGCCTCCCCAGCCGCAGGGTGGTATCCAGACTTGGACTGTCTGGAAACTGTTAGTGTGTTCTGTGGCCACTGTGAGATCTACATTAAAGCTAGGAAGAAGTGTAATAAAACTACATCTGTGGTTATTCTGTATCATACTCTGAAAAACAAGAGCATTTCTGGAAATGAAACTCGATTAATTTATTTCTACTATACAAATGGAATTGTTGGCATTGAGGAAGAGCAAGAAGATTATGATGCAGCTGTGGTGGGGGTTTGGGTGTCCCGTGAGACTGAACTCCCCGGATGGTTAATTCCGTCGTCCTTTGCAGGTTATGTGAATGTACTTCGGGGAGCATCACTTCACTCACCCATCGTCCCACTCCCTCTCTGTCTCAACATGTTTGACAGTGGGACAGACGCACGAAGGAAAATAGGAAAAACAAGGGCTACCAAACCCGGTGGTGATCTCAATGCTTACATGACCCCAGACGACTGTTAGTGCCTGACGGGCGTCTGAGCTGGTGTTTCAGAAGGGTGCCAGACATACGCACTTGGTGGTTAAAGGGAAGGACTCGGACTTTCATTCCTGACTCCCAGGAATGTTACGTATTTACCATTTGTAATATAGTTTATATACTTATTATACACGTTTTATATGCGGATTGACTTTTCATGTTTTACCTCCTCTATTCCAGTATTTTCTTGAGAGTAGGAACCATGGCTTCTTGCCCCTGTCCTTACAGCTCTTCGCTGTGTCTGGCATGGAGCTGGGGTCCTCTTGACTTTTCCTTATGTTAGCTGAAATTATCATCGGAGGACCCTAGTTTCTGCTTCTGCGAAATGACATCATTTAACCCTCCCTTAGAAGCCTCCCTTTGAGTGTTGCCAGTGACCAGCTGTAGTCTGCCTGCAGGAGTTGTGGTGTGGAGGTATTAAGGGCCCCAGATATTACAGCCCAGATGGAGGGCACAGAAGCACATCCTCAGTGTTCACAGAGTGTCCTGGGGCTCATCGGTTACTCGGCAAGCTTGAGTCTCTGCCGTTGGCCCAGTACTTCTCTAGGTGCTGGTGCGATCCCTGGTTAGTCAGAATGACATAGGACAAGCACATTTGCAGGTAAAGGGCTGTTCTGTGAGAACATGGCAGTCAGTGTGCAGGGCAATAAGTACTGATGCAATAGTCATGGGCAGAGATAGGAAAAGTCAGAGTTGCTGTCTTTTTTTAAAAAAACTATTTTATTTTTAGACAGAGGGGAAGGGAGGGAGAAAGGGAGGGAGAGAAACATCAATGTGTGGTTGCCTTTCCTGTGCCCCTTGCTGGGGACCTGGCCCGAAACCCAGGCATGTGCCCTGACTGGGAATCAAACCAGCAACTCTTTGGTTTTCAGGCCAGCACTCAATCCACTGAGCCGCACCAGCTGAGGCAGAGTTGGTGTCTTGAAAGAGATAACTGATTGAACTATTTTAGTCCGGATCTAAAACTCCTGAGTGCATTTGGGGCCCACAGATGTTTTACTCAGCCCCCTATGTGGGAAGCTTGTAAGCAAGGATCAGTGGCTGGGGCCATAGAGAATCACAGATTATTAGCTACTGAGCATGCATAGGCTCTGGAGGCAGAGAGCCTGAGTTTCAATCCTGCTCTGACAGATCTTGGCTGTGTGACATTAAGCAAGTTGCTTCACCTCTAATGTAGGAACAGTCATAGTATCTACCTCATCAGACTGAGTGGTAGACAAGTACAGGGTTTAGCACAGTGCCTGCCTAGCAGGTAGTAAATCCTCCCCTTGGTGTTTGGATTGTTGGTCACATCCTCTTCGAGTGGTGTTTGGGCGCCCCCTGGTGCCTGTGCCGTTGGGGCCCTCAGCATGACTCTCTCTAGAAGAGCAACTGCTTCATGGGTCTGCTGAGCTCCGTTTCATTCAGTGATAAAGTCTCAGAGCTGTCGGGACATGAAAGAGCATCCAGTCTAACCTATTCTATGGTTGAAGAAATTGAGGCCCAGAGATGTAAAGTAACTTGGCCGTAACCACACAGCCAGTTAACGATAGTGCTGGGACCAGAAGCTGGGTGTCCTGGCTCCCAGGCTAGATCTGTCACAGAAAAGCCACGTGAGAAAGGAGCAAGGGAGGCAGAGAAGGTGAGCTGGAAGAAAGATGGATGCACACATGCATAACATAGAGGGAAGAATGACAGACAGATGGCACATACACACGCCCTGAAGCAAGGAGGGAGAGGGAGAGACAGAGAGAGAGAACAGGGGAAGAGAAAGAAAGGGAGAAGAAATTTAGAGAGGGCAGAGAAACAGACACACATGGGATGGAGGAGAAAGAGAATAGGAAAGTGAGGGGGGAGACAGAAGGGAAAGAGACAGTGGTTGTCTGACTCGCCCCATTGCCATTTCAGGGCGTGGGTGGTCTTTGCTCAAGTAGAAACCATTTGCCCATTAAGGCCCCAAAGCAGAGTAAAAGCAGAGAAATGAAAGCACAAGATAGATGCCAGTGATAATGAGCAAACACCATTTAAACAAACACCTGCAGCCAGAATTGGCCTAACACATCACCTCTGGGGTAGCCCTCCCTTGAGTCCCAACAGGGGTGCTCAGCATTGTCTTCCCTACTGGGCTCCAGGACAGTGGGAATAAATCTCTAAGGAGCACTCTGAAACTTGGGCTCATTAAGCTGCAGAAAGGCATGAATAGGACACACCCGCCATAGTACTACAAGTGGAATCATCTTCAGTACTGGTGTTCTGGTTTTAAATGGGACAGTGCTGAGCCACAGCCAGAAGTGCATTCCATGATCTTCACCTTCCGTCTCTTGTTTTCCCCTAATTCCTGTAGTTTCCCATAGATGTAAAAAACTGCTTCCAATCCCAGATAGACCTGACTGTGGAGAGAAGAGCAAGGGGCGGCTAGATTTTTTATCTTTCTGGTAGATGCAAACTCTATTCCATTATTTCATAGCCAGAGCAATGGTGTTAAGCCCTCTCTGCAGGCCACCTTGTTCCACTTCCCATTTTTCTTTTTCTGTCTTCATTTTGTGCAAGAATAAATTAAAGTGTTTTGAAACAGCTGCTCTGTGCAAGGTTCTGTGCTAGGAGTTGGAGATTCCCGGCCTGAGAGAAGACATATATACCCAAGGACATGTGAATGGCACACAGCCAGATGGGTTCAGGGCCAAAGAAGCAAAACAGTAGTGGCCAGGTGGAGTCAAAGCAGGGGACGTTCCCTGAGCTTGGGGCTGGATTTTCACTGGTCCTTGGAGCTCAAGCAGAGGAGATGGGGATGGTGGTCCTGGAGAAGGCCAGGAA